GGTTGCCAAAGTGAAAAAAATGTTTTACTGTATTAAACTCTTTGGATACGTAGGTGCCAAGATTAGAAATGTAATAATAATAATAATCAAGTAAGTTATGAGATAAATTAGATATAAAAAACGAGCTAAATGTTATTTTTAAACATGCGTAATCTCGGTGCATCATAGAGAAACATAGACACTTATTATAGAAAAATAATAAAAAAATAAAGTGTGTTATTTGAGATATATACTTTTATTATTTTTTATTTGAAAGTTATTTTTGTGTATAATAACGTTATATTTATATAAATTTTATATTCAATATAAGAATAACTTTTAGTTACAAATAGTTTAGAAAATTTAAGAATATAATTTATCTATCATTTTTAACTAAATCAAAACTTAAATTATAATATTAAACTGTATCATCAAATTTAAATCACTTTTAACGAGATTAAATTGAAAATTTATTTAAATGACTCCATACAAAATCTCACTGTACTTTTACGATAAAAAATGATTTTTTTTTTCCCTAAAAATCTATTCAATGCACTCTAGGAACACCCTTAATTATAACCTAGCATTGAAACAATCAACACTATATTTATGTCATTGTCTGGACCAACACTACTTTTCCCAGCTAAACACCCTCTTTGTAGTAGTTGAGAAATAAGAAAAAAAATCAAATATTAAGAAAAAAAGGAAAAGGTGAAAATATGATTTTTTAAAATTGAAATGAAAAAAAAAGCCAAAAAAAAATTGATAGAGTACTGACTAAAAAGATAAAATTGTAAAATAGTGAGCAAAAATAAAAACTAAACCTTAAATGAGATAATATAATGTGAAGTAATAAACAATACATAAAAGCTTACATGCGAAGCTATTAGATAAGGTCTTAATTATGTTTGGCAATTGGGTTACATAGATGTTTTGTGTGACTCAGACTGTTTTGAAGTGATGCTTCTGCTTAGTCCTACCACAAATATGCTACATAATTATACACCTCTGATCGTGGACATGCCTAATCTTACACGTGGAGTTTGAACTTCAACTCCAACCCACGTACCAAGATAAACAGGGAGTAATATTTTAAGTTATTCTTTAAAATTGTATCCGTCGTATACTTCATTGTTTTTTGACTTAACAAAATAACATTTGTTTTAGTTATTTTCAATATAAAACAACAAAAAAATTAAATTTCATAATATTTTAAAAATTTATGAACAAAAATACATATTTTATATAATTTTAAAATTAATTTGAGAGCAAACTCGACAAATAAACGAACCAGTACATGAAATTAATTTTTAAATTGATAAGGTTAACATTTGAAAATTTATGTTTGATATTAAATGATAACCTGCTTAATTGTTTTGATTTGTATTCACCATAATGTACTGAAAAGAAGATTAACCACGCATTCCTTTGCGTTTTTTTCTTCTCAGCTTTGAAAAATGTAATCCATCCACTTAATTTTTCATGAAAGAAGGAAATGACAATGGAGAGGGGCAGAAAGATACAAAAATATAGTACAACCAAAACGAAAATCTTTAACCCCTACAAGGTTAATGGTTTATAACCAAACTTATATATGTTGCTATTATTTTTGGAATGGAACAACAGACAGAAACAAATATACAGCTCCTACATGGATAGAAATGAACCTGAAGTTAGAATAATCCAGCTGGGGGAATATCATTTCGAGTTGTTCCACATAAATAACTCATCAACCAGGGCTCCACTTGGTCCCATGTCTCTTATATATATATATATATATATATATATATATATATATATCTGATTGATGATATTTTCATAATCTCTTTGAATTTGCCCATGTCAACCTTAACAATTTGGACAATAATCTCCTTCAAAAGCCCTGTATGGGAGATTACAAACATTATGCATGAGTTGTGCCATTCACACATTATCTTGTCCTACTTTACCCAGTTAGAATGAAGTATCTATTGTGTTTTTCAGAATCCCAAAAACAATCTCATTTTTTGACTCAAGCTTTAATCATATCCAAACATTTTTTTCTTTTGCTTAAATTACAAATATATTTTACATGATACACTTTTCGAACAAAAATATCTATAGCATAGCAAAACTAATTCTATCAACACATTTTTTTCTCGTACATAAAATTTGAACCCAACTCCTTATTAAAAAAGAATGAAGTATATATCATTTAACCAACCCCTTGATTAAGCATCCTCTGTTTACTACGAATTAAAAAAAATAAACAACAGTAAAAGTATGTATCAAAGATTAAATTAACACTACACACATATATGATGAATAATTTTAGTAACAACTTAAAAATCATTTATGAAAACAATAGTATATATATTTTTTTATCACTAATTTGATTCTCAGAAAAGTAAGATCAGATACCTCTGGTGATTCTTTCCCCTGTACCTTGAACCATAATTATTGTAATTTTTATTCGCCAAAAATATTGAAAATGTTTTTCCACTCCAATCCAAATAATACTAAGTTACTTGAAAACAACATTCTGATTCACTCACCTAACGAGTACATGCTTGGAAGAAGGAACACTTTGGACAGGTGTACGACAAGAAGTCACTCACTACCTCAAAGTCTCAAACACTACTAGTCCACTACTTTTTTAGTCTATTTGCAAACTTGCCTATATGGCCAAAGTTTTCCCTGGCCACAACCGGTGACCTCAAAGGGTGGCCCTGCACCAACAACAACTTTGGACTCATTTTCTTAACAGTGTCAAGACCACAAATAACCCACAAAGAACATTTGCTAGTGTTTAATGGAGCTTCAGACAACAACACAACAACAAACACCCGCTCATCACTTTCCACACTTTTTCTCTAGCATCACATAAATACTTACTCAATTTCAGATCATTTATCATTTTAAGAATATTAGTGAAAAATAATGAACATGTTACTTAAATATTTAATTAATTGACAATTAAATTTAAATAAGCTTTTAAAATAATAATATTTTAGTAAAAAAATTATTTTATCATCATAATCAATTGATGATTATTTTAAGATGTATATGTAACCTTAAATGACAGATAATTTAAAACAAAGAAAGTATTCCTTTTCCTGTTCTAACTTCAAATTTAACGTTGTTCAAATGTTTTCTTATGAAGCATTAGGGACACTAAAAGGGGGCAAAGAGACCCCTACCCAGCCTGTCTCATACTCAACTGGGTCAGATTCCATTATTTTTGAAATTATTTACCTAATCCTAAAAGCATACCCCGACAACTAAATCAATGTCTCATTTCAATATTGGTCCGATTATTATTTTTTTAATCACAAATGAATAAAAATAAGTAAAATATTATAAACACTGATCCGACATCTCTAATCACAGTGAGGGTATAGAAAGGTTGTTTGTTTACTTAGAAACGGTGGCAGCAATTCTTTTTAAAAGGTTTTAGTTTTGTTTCTTCAAATGTGAGTAAAACACAGGTATTATATATCAAAACGGATTTGATCTAGAGAAATTATTTTAAAGCATAGTAACATTATTTTAGTATAGTTTTGAAATAAAGAAGTAGCCTTGGGAAAGAAATCCAACACTAAAAAATAAAAGGGTCAATGAACCTTGCCGTTTCACCGCCAATATATATAATTGTACAGTCACATGCAACAAGACCCTACTATGGTCATCTCTGTCTTCTATATTCAGTTTCCTCTGAAACTCAGCCTTTTTTAACTGAACAACAAAGCAATTTTAAAGTCTGTGACCTTTGCTGGTGGCGCTGATGGTGGCCACGTACTATTTATTTCGTTTTAACTTTTTTTTTGGACGTCACAGTATCTTTGATACTTGGATTTTCCTAAACATAAAATTTTGATATACGCAAATAATAATATTCATGATAGAAGTTGAAAACAATAATTGATTGTAGTAACGTAAGCTTTACCATTTTAGAATTCACGTGTTTTTTTGATAACCATGCATTTCATATATATATATATATGAATTCTAGTGATTATAGCTAAGTACAAATAGAATCTAATAATAAATAGAAAGAATATAGAACTAAATAAATGGATTTCGTCTTCTATTTCTAGAAGAAACAAACATATGTGTGATAATACACCTTTTTTTTTATTCTTAGTATTCCTCAATTATTATCTTATTACTTTGCTCTTGTGTGTTCTAATTTTTGATTTTCATCCCAAAATTTGTGTTTTTTTTTTTGAAATTCAAAAATGAAAAATCAAAATTTTTTTTTGCCTCTACCTCATTTTTCATTTTGAGTAAAAAAAAAAGAAAGCATGAAGTTGAAATAACTTTTTTCGTTTAACAAAATTATGTTTTCAAAGCTAATCTTTACATTTCTAGCTTCTAAGCCAAACTCTCTAGTTACAGGCTTCTTTAAAGTAGCCAGTTTTGTAGATCCAAAACCAAAATAAAATCTAAACTAATTAAAAATTTGTCCAAACCACACAATGGATTTTCATCTTCTACGCACTGTTGAACAGACAATTGTATTTACACGGTTAAAATTTCAATGTTTTAACAAAAAAACCTAAATCATACAAACCCGTTTTGTGGTGCATTCATGGGTAAGATAAAAAGACGCATACAAGTTAAATGTCAACTATATATAGGTAACAAGTCTATGTGTAATAATAACAATAATAAGAAAACGTGCATACGTTATTGTTAGTCCATATTCCGTATAACTGAAAGATAAGAGTTTAGTTTTCAAAAAAAAATTTGGGAGATATGGATTAAGCCCACTAAATTGGTGGTGAATGCAAGGCCCGTATGTAAACACCGAATAGAAATATGAATTTCTCATTCTAATAAAAAATCATACACCCTTGGAGTTGGCAGTTAGGCCCGTTAGACGAAAAATCCTCCAGAGTTATATATTAACAATTACGTCTTACGTGGCGGAACTGCTAGCACGCGCCATTAGGAGCGTGAAAGATAGATCTCATCGTCATCATCTCATTTTTCAGTGAGTTATTCTTCTCTCTCTTTCTCTCTCTCTCTCTCTCTCTCTCACACACACACAGAGAAGAGAACAGAGGAAACCTGAAGAAAAGAAGTGAGGCATAAAATCAAAACGACGCCGTAGGAGTTTGCATGCTATCCACTTTGCAACCCTCGTCCATTCCCAAAACCCTAAAACCCTCCATTCACCTTCCATTTCTGGCCATGAAGGACCGCCCCACGCTGTCCTCCTATGGCTCCATCTACGTTCCGCCGCACCACCGTCTACGCTCTGTCGCTGACTACAACAACTCCACCGCTCCGGTTCGCGCCAAGCTCCGCGAAAACCCTACACCCGCATCTACTACTATGCAATCGGAACAAGTTCCCGACAAGGGGCATTCGCGCTTCGTTTCTGCATATGACGACGCCGTTTCCGAGGAAGGCTCCGATCGTGAATTTGAACCTCCCTCACTACCGGTGAGTTATTTATTTTTTTTCCAGTGTAAGTGTGGATATTTGTGAAGTGGTGTTTGGGTTTGATGTGTATTTTCGAAATTTGGTTACCAGAGTGCTTCGCCCTATGATAACACTGATGAGTGGAAGCGGAAATTTACCATGCTCTTGAACGACAAGAGTAAGCAAGAGTTGATTTCGAGGGAGAAAAAAGATAGGCGTGATTTTGATCGAATAGCTGTTTTGGCTTGCAGAATGGGTTTGCATAGGTGACGTTTCTATTACTTTTTTCATGAACAGAATATTAGTGTTTTGAGTGACAAGTAGTGGGTCTTTATTGTTGGGAGTCTCAAATGCATTTGTTTATCGCAGCCATATGTATGCGAAGGTTGTTGTCTTCAGTAAGGTCCCACTTCCAAACTACAGATACGATTTGGACGATAGGCGGCCCCAGAGGGAGGTATATATCCTGCTCTTTAATTTCCTCTTTGGTATTTGCTCTGAGTTCAGACATTAACAAAAACTAAGGGTCTTAAAAATGTTTTTTCTTTTTCTTTTTTCCTTTATGTTTGGATTTTTATATTTGACCAATCAAATTTCTTAATGTTAACCTCATCAATGGAAAAGTTATTTCTCAAGAGAGAGTAAAGCTTTCAGGAATTGACAGGTGATCTTGCCTTTCACCACATTAAACCGAGTTAATGCATATTTCGAGGAATACCTTAACCAAAAATCCAGGATGAACAGAAGCTTTTCAGATTTGTCATTTGCAAGATCAAACAGTAGCAGTAGTATTGGTACAGATGAAGGGCTTTTTGAGCAACCTGAGCCGTTAGCATCCAGTAGGGCTGTTTCAGAAAAAATTCTCTGGCAGAGAAGCTTAGAAATGCGCGTTCAGCAGCAAGCTTGGCAGGTTACCTTCCCTCAAGTATAAAAGCATGGCATGTGTTGGTGTTGTGTGATATAATTCGAATTCATTTTGTATTTTGTTAATTCAGGTTTGCTTCGAAATTTAGAGTTGTAAGATGTTGATATAACTTTGCTACCATTTACTACTTAGTAATCTACGTTCCATGTAAAATGTTAAAAGGGTTTCGCAGGATTATATCAGGGAAAAAAACAAGAGGTTGGGATATGAAAGGTGGGTATTGTAAATCAATGGAAAATCTTAGAACATGAGTAAAGACAGTAGGTGATTGCTCATCAACAGTTGTTCAATCTAATGGTCATTGTTAATAGATATTCATGCCTAACTTTGTGGTAGTAAGTTAAAAAGAAGAAATCTACTGGTTCTTCTTGGTGGCCAATACATTTTGTCTGCTAGATCTGTACAAGTGCTTACAGATACTGGTTATTAGCAGTTACCCATTTTGATGGGTTTGCCCTGAGTCTCTGTTTAATATTTTGTAAAATATTCCAATGAAGTGTGAAAACTTTTGAGACAACAAAATGGCTTGAATGTTCTTGACATCTTGCCTTTTCATTTCAGGAATCTGCTGAAGGAAGAAGAATGCTAGAATTTCGTAAAAGTCTTGCTGCTTATAAAAGAAAAGAAGAGTTATTATCAGTCATATCAAGGAATCAGGTTTGTTGAATAATTGTATTATTAGCTTTATTTTTATGGATTAAGCCTATGTTATTTATTAATTTTATTATAGGTTGAGTTGCGTATACCTAAAATTAGTTTTACATGTATATGAGGATGTCAGCCTTTTCTGTTAACATTGTTGTAAGTGAATTCCTGTTAGCCAGTTTGACTGGCTCACAGAGGCTCAGTTGTGACTTGTGAGTTGATTTTGGAGGATAAACTCAGTGATGTTATGTAAACTAGAAATTTGTTGTGAAATTCTGAACTGCTGTAATGATGCGTTGAATTATTTATTGAAAAAAATTAAACCAATGATATCAAGTGAAAGTATAAAGGTTATGGCGGTGGTATCGTTGAATTTCAGTGCCAGCAGCAGCTGTAAAAGGGGGTTGCCAGTGGTATTATAATTGTATGATAATAAAAATTGAACTATTAGATTACCTGTTATAATGCAGCAGTCAAGTAAATATTTATCAGAGAACTATATATCAGGCTGTTTGTATCATATGGTTAGCTTTAGCAGAATTATCTGACTGAGAATGAGCAAATCAATAATCAGAAAAGCTTAGGATTTGACTTGTTTTATTTTATGTAATTTCTATTATAGCTTTATATATGAGTTGGGGTGATAAGATGAAATTAATGTTCTCAGCCATATGCAGTGGCTCCTTAAGACCCTCGGAGTAATACACAACCTTTTCAGCTTTTATATGCCCACTGCTAGTATCACTTTTTTTATGGAGCCACTGATGTTGTATTGTGACATTATGATAATCACTACAAAAATATATTATGCATCTTGGTAAAGTTCTAGGGTATCCTATACCTTGATTCATTTGTGCAGGTTGGTTGGTGATAAAAGTATGATTTAAAAGTAGTTCATAGTTTCAATTTTAATCCTTTTAAGACTAGATATCTATAATTTGATATTCAGTTATTAAATGGCATGCTTTTTAGGTAGTTATCATTTCAGGCGAAACTGGTTGTGGCAAGACAACACAAATTCCACAATTTATTTTAGAATCTGAGATAGAATCAGTTCAGGGAGCTGCCTGTAATATTATATGCACACAGCCAAGACGCATTTCAGCCATGTCTGTTTCTGAAAGGGTTGCCTCTGAGAGAGGGGAAAAATTGGGTGAATCTGTGAGTTTGTCTACCTCAGACAATTATTGTTAATACACTATCCTGATCCATAACTGTTCTGTTTTCTGAGAATTTTAAGCATTTCTTCCTCTCAATTGATTGCTCTCTCTCCATGAAAGGTTGGATATAAAGTTCGACTTGAGGGTATGAAAGGGAGAGATACCCATCTTCTCTTTTGCACCACAGGCATCTTATTAAGAAGATTACTAGCTGATAGACAGTTAAAAGGTGTAACTCATGTTATTGTTGATGAAATTCATGAGCGTGGGATGAATGAAGGTAGAATTCTGAACTTGATTGCATCTTTTGCCCTTTGAATATTTCTGAATAAATATTCATGTTCCTGCATTTTTTGTGACAGATTTTCTGCTTATTGTCCTCAAGGATCTCCTTCCCCATCGACCAGATCTGAAACTGATTTTGATGAGTGCTACCCTCGAAGCAGAGCTCTTTTCTTCATACTTCAATGGGGCTCCAATTATGACTATTCCGGTGTGTTTCCGAAACCAAGTGATATTCCTTGTCTTGTGATGGGGAATAGCGGTGGCTTTGGGAATTGCTTACAATCAATGAATAATGAATCTGTGAGTAGAAAAATATAAAATAAGATGATTTGGAAGTATTAAGCGAGTAAATGGGTGTGCATAGTAGGTATAATATCATCATAAAAGGGAATGAAATTATTCCACAATTCATGTTTTTCCATTAATTTATATTTTTGTTTTGAGTAGTGTTTATTACCCACCCTTTTCTTTGGGTTAAGCATTATAAAATTCTTCTAAAAGGATAATATTTTGGCACCAAAAACTGCCAATTTTCCGTTATCTTATTGTTTGGGTGGATATGCTTATTAATATAGGGCTTCACATACACCGTTAATACTCATTTTTTGGAGAACATTCTTGAAATGACGGGCTACAAATTGACTCCTTATAATCAAATTGATGATTATGGCCTAGAAAGGATGTGGAAAATGAACAAACAGGCCCCAAGAAAGAGGAAAAGCCAAATTGCTTCCGCCGTAGAGGTATATAAGAAATTTTGAATTGCAGTTGCTTCAGTACCTGCTTGGTATTATCTTAATTTTAGTTCATTTTGGAAAATGTATAATTAGGATGCAATTAGAGCTGCTGATTTCAAAGATTACAGCCCACAGACACAGGAGTCTTTGTCATGTTGGAATCCTGACTGTATTGGTTTTAGTCTCATAGAATATATTTTATGCAATATATGTGAGAATGAAAAGCCTGGTGCTGTTTTGGTTTTCATGACTGGATGGGATGATATAAGCTCTCTGAGAGAGAAGCTCCTGACACATGCTGTCTTGGGCGATCCAAATCGTGTTTTGTTGCTTACATGTCATGGCTCAATGGCTAGTTCAGAGCAGGTGATGTTCTGTCTGTTGATGACTTATTTTTGAAGTTGATTTTATATAATCTGTTTGTGTCACCTAACCTGTTAGGCACTCTGCTGTAGCAACAAAGCTTGTAAAATTTATGTTTGGATATATGTATAATCAAATCCCATGACAATTCATTATCTGCAAATTAACTTTTAACAATGCATTATGTGCATAGTCTTCTGTTGAAGAAAGGTGATATGCTTTGTCCCCTGCTTGCAATCAATATTTAGATACATTATAGTTATACATAATGGATATGGCAATATGCAGAGATTAATATTTGAAGAGCCTGAAGATGGAGTAAGAAAAATAGTGCTAGCAACAAATATTGCTGAAACGAGTATCACAATAAATGATGTTGTTTTTGTTCTTGACTGCGGAAAGGCAAAAGAATCATCATACGATGCACTGAATAACACACCTTGTTTGCTTCCTACATGGATCTCTAAGGCTTCTGCTCAACAAGTAAGGTTTACTTTAGTTGATTGCAGAAGTTGAATTTATCAATTATACAATAGTATGTTCAATATTACTAGGCGTCATTTTTAATCCATCATCCTTATCCTTTAGATATGCATTTTCGAACTTTATGGATAGTTCACACCAGCTTAGTTAAGTGAATGTTACATACCCTACCTGGACTGTTGAAATCATCCATCACATATGGCTTAAGTAAATCACAGCCATCTGGTCTTAAGTTTGCTGAAGGGTCATGTCATGTTAAATAACTTTGAACATCATTAGTGCCTTGTATAAATAAATTATTCAATTGGGGATTTAAATTTTTTATTCTCTAGGATTTGATACCATAATCTTTGGGCTTTGTAGTTTCCCATTGATCTTTTTAAAATGGCTCATTAGATCATAATCCATCATACTTGTGGCAATTTCCACCCAGCATATCTGCATAGACTATCAAGGATAATGTCTGATGAGACTGTGCAAGGTAAATCAAACAAACTGCATATGTCATTCAGGCAAATTAATGCAATTGCTGCTGACAATTATAACAGCCCTGACTGGAAATTGCCATTTTGTTCAAGTCTAGGCTGTGTGCCATTCTTTTATGATTAAGGATTAAAATCAGACTCCAGGATCATGATGGCAACATGTGGTATCCCAAATAGTATTAATATAGCCTCTTACCTGTGAATCTTGATCTTAAATGTTGAACTTGCAGCTATTGAACCTTCAATGTTGACAGTATTATCTGGTTTTTCCCTGAACTCATATTTTTCTAGAGAAGAGGAAGAGCTGGTCGGGTTCAACCAGGAGAGTGTTACCATCTCTATCCTAGATGTGTTTATGATGCTTTTGCGGAGTATCAGTTACCAGAAATTCTTAGAACACCTTTGCAATCTCTCTGTTTGCAAATCAATAGTCTAAGACTTGGAAGTATATCTGAGTTCTTATCTAGGGCTTTGCAGTCTCCTGAGATTCTCGCGGTAAAGATAAATTTGATTTATTCTTTATGATTCCATTTCCATCTATTTATGCACTGTTCTTTTATTTAATAAATTCATATATCGTGTTGGTTATTTATATATAAATTTATGCATCTTATTTTTTTATTTAATTATCTTATTCATAGGTACAAAATGCAATCGAATATTTAAAAATAATTGGGGCTTTGGATGAGAATGAGAATCTCACTATTCTAGGTAGGTTGATCCTTACTAGTACTGGAAAACTTGGCTTCTTACCTTTTTACATCAAAATGAACACTTGGTCTTTCAATTGACAGGGCGCTATCTGACAATGCTTCCTATGGAACCCAAACTTGGCAAGATGCTAATTTTAGGTGCTATTTTCAATTGTCTTGATCCCATTTTAACTGTTGTTGCTGGCCTTAGTGTGAGAGATCCTTTTCTAACACCTTTGGATAAAAAAGATGTAAGTTGTTCCTATTTTAGATGATTGACTAATGATTGAAAAGCTAATCCTTTTTTTGTTAAAGAGGTTTTACTTGATATTTATTGTAGACCTCTGTTACTCACTTGGCATGAAGCCATGAACATATTGCATAGCTATTATGTATTTTCTTTTTGATTTCTTATTTATGTTGTTTGGACACTAATTTCAATTGAAACCGCAAGGAAAACCCAAACAAATCTATTTTATTTTTTTTTAAATTGGGCCTCTGCTTTGTTGAATGCATACCCACGTGTACATATGATGGGAAATCTGTTCATGTGAAGAAAATTCTTTGACTAGCGATAGTGTGTATAAACCTGACTGGATTATAAATCTTGCTTCTTACCTGTAACATAAAAATAAAGCTAAGTCTTTTATTTGTTTAATTTTTATTTAGTTTTCTTCTTCCTAGTCTACCCTGTCCTCCTTGGTAAAATTTGATTAAGTTTGTGTTATGTGTCTAGTAGAATAGAACATGTTTTAATTTATTTATTTTTCAAACTCATTGCCCCTCAGCTATTGTGTTATAATTTATTTATGCTCCTTTTGCATTATATGATATATCTTTATTCTTTAGCATGGTGATTCACTATGCAGTCAATATGTGCTAACTAGTTTTATTTAATATATTTTTCCATCCGACAAAGTGAGCTTCAAACTCCACTAATTTACCCGTTAATTCTTCTTAGTTTCTTCTTTCTCTTTCTCTCTCTCTCTCTCTCACAATTTTGTTCCCTCGGGTATCTTATACCATTCTTTCTCTTGTGTTCTTTCACTAGGCTTTTCTGTTAATTATCTTATCTTCATTAAGAATCTTTTTTTTTTCTCTTCAGAATTTAAGACGAACGGTAGCAACATACTCCTACTAGGTGAACTTCATGTGAGACCCGCAATAATAAAGAATGTTGAAAAATGTGTGTTGCTAGTATTTGTTTCCCTAAAAAAGAATTAGGGAATGCATTTTGTATATTACTTTAAAGAGATTTTTTTAACTGCTTTTTAAAAATTAAATTAAGGTTCTTCATTGGGTTTCATTACGAAAATTATATCACATAATCTTTCTGACAATTTTCTCAATACAAGAGCTAGTTAGAATAAATACTGTTTCAGTTAATTAAATATATTTTCAAGTTTTTAATGTATATGGTCACTTTCATCAAAGCAATATATATAATGGCCCATTTATTTTCCAACTTATTGCTTGATGGCATTGTCGTAAGCTGAATTTCATTATTTGATGGTTCAAAATTCTTCATTTTAGCTTGCAGAGGCAGCAAAATCCCAATTTTGTGGTGCTTACAGTGATCACCTTGCACTTGTAAGTGCATATGAAGGTTGGAAAGATGCGGAAATAGACCTTGGTGGATATGAATACTGCTGGAAGAATTTTCTTTCATCCCAATCCATGAAAGCAATTGATGCTCTTCGGAGGGAGTTCATATGCCTGCTTAAGGATATCGGATTAGTTGATAGTAACCCAGCCAGCTGCAATGCGTGGAGCTCTGATGTAAATCTTATCCGGGCAGTTATTTGCTATGGTCTATATCCTGGAATTTGTTCTGTTGTGGTATGTCCTTTTCTACAACAAAACATAATATACAAGCCTTTCCCCCATTAATCAGTGGTGGGGGAGGTTGGGTCCATGAGGAGCACTTCCCCATCCACTCATCCTCTCTTTGCTTTAACTTTATCTCATTTTAACATACTGCATGTCACAGCATCTTTCCCTTGATATGCCCTTCCACAACAATCTAATCTTTGTTACATCCTAATTTTTTTTTTCCAAATCTCTTATCAAATAAAAGGAATGTTGCTATGTACACACACAAAAAAGATTATTCTAATATCCTAATCCACAATCACACTCACAAAAATAAATTGGGACTAAACTCCACTGGTCATTGATTCAAAGAATAGTTGATTGTCCAATGACTTGGTGTGCCTAATCGTGTTTTGTTTGAGTTTATAGTTTACCCTAGCATTAATCTAGAACAGTTTGTTCGTACAAAAATTGCCTTGTATTTTAGTTCTAAATTTTCTCAATTATATATGAAGAAAAATAATTAAGCATAATTTAAAATAAAATTAATGTGTTTTGTTTTGTGTAAGTAATGATACACAATGATAATATCTTATATTAGAGTTAGTATATTTGGCTCAATTATATTATTAAAAATATATCGTTATTTAAATTTTAAACAACTTTTAGTCATCAAATTCTCATCAATATATGCCCATCATGAAATTTAGTCTTGGTGACTGTCCTTAGAAATGTTCTTGGAGTTGTACAATGTCTTAACATTGTACTTTTAGTATTTTATGTTTTGAGAACATATAACAAGACATGATTTCATTTGCAGCATAATGAGAAGTCATTCTCTTTGAAAACAATGGAGGATGGGCAAGTGCTCCTGTATTCGGTTAGTCCATTCAAACCTTCACAATTTGCTTCTAGTTGTGAAACACTACTTGTATTCAGGTTTTTATGCTGTCTTTTGATTTTATTTTACTTTTGTTTTCCTTTTTTAATTTCATTTTCACTCATTTACCTAGAACTCGGTGAATGCTCGGGAAACTAAAATTCCATATCCATGGCTACTTTTTAATGAGAAGATAAAAGTGAACTCAGTTTTCCTCCGCGACTCAACAGCTGTGTCTGATTCAGTGTTGCTTCTTTTTGGTGGAAGCTTAATGAAAGGAGATGCTGTAAGTGTGATGTAATTTTTTATTGATTTTCATGTTTATTATGAATTCTATAAAATGTTAAATTTCAAATTGCTGTCTCAGTATTAGTTGTATGATGTACTGGAATTTGATCTTTCTCTATCAGGATAATCACTTAAAAATGTTAGGAGGATATCTGGAGTTCTTCATCGAGCCTACTATTGCTGAAATGTACCAGAGTATAAAGAGAGAACTTGATGACTTCATTCAGAACAAAGTAGGGGCAAATGAATTTCATGCTTCTACCAATAGCTTTCCCTTGATATTTGAATATTGGAAAACAAAAAGTTGAACATAGTTTCTTGATGCAAATGGAAGTAGCATTTGGTTTTAAGTGCTTTTTCTCTTGGCCAACCTGCATCAATGACATGAATAGTTAACTTTTGGTTTGAACTCTGTATTTGGCAGCTACTTTTTCCAAGAATGGGCATACACTTCTATCATGATCTCCTATCTGCAGTACGGCTGCTGATTTCCAACGACAAATGTGAAGGAAGATTTGTATTTGGTCGTCAGGTGCTTAAACCATCAAAGCAATCTATGATAGCCACACATCCAACCTTGGTTTCAAGGACTGAGAGTGGACCTGGGGGCGATAATTCTAAAAGTCAGCTCCAAACCTTACTTACAAGAGCAGGATATACTGCACCTGTTTACAAGACTAAACAATTGAAGAACAATCAGTTTCGGGCTACAGTTGAATTCAATGGAGTGCAGATAATGGGCCAACCTTTTAACAATAAGAAGAGTGCAGAAAAAGATGCTGCAGCCGAGGCACTGCAATGGCTGATGGGTGGAAAGCAAACAGGCAGGGAGTATATCAATCACATGTCGATGTTACTAAAGAAAAGTAAGAAAGATCACAATTAAGCAGTCAACTAAGGAGCTCAATGTGAAGGTAAAGGAGCCCATGGATCCGGCAAGAATATATAGGGGTCCTACTCCTCTTCTAGAGGGACTCGGTGATTTGACCAAAAACATAAGAGGGACACTGGTTTAATCCTGAATCATTGTGTCAATTTGTTCATGAAAACAGCCCAGCCCATATCCAACATCAAACAGACTCAATTTGAAGTTGCAAGATGCTAATTCCTGGTTTAAGCAAAATGATGGATCATCTGTGAACATGAAGTGAGAAGTTGTCAATCAAAGTTTGAGGATACTAACTGTCCAATTTGATGCTTTGTTTAACATCAATTAGAAGATAGATGGTTAGTGGTAAGGGTCATTTTACGATGAGGATTACTACATAGCATTCATTCTTTGGGGGCGATGTGCGCATTCAGCCGGAAATGATGCCATTTGAGTCAAGTATCTAATCCCATAAATTTTTTGTATATTGATTATCAATTTTGATATCATAAAATCCTAAAATTTGTTGAACGCCCTGGGCGTTTGTTCCGTGTCTGGGAGCTAAAAATGATGGAAAAGGGAATTAACAGGTTTTGGATTGCAGGTGATTGTTTAACATCTATAAGATTTGAAAAGCGATTTTTTTTTTTGGCGGGGGGGGGGGGGAGGAGGGTCTACGAAAAGCGAAATTTAAGAGTTATTTTTCGTCAAAAAATTTAGAAGTTGGAATTGTTAGCATCTTTTTTTTTTTGTCATTAAAATCTCAATCTCAAGACTGCAGTATCTAAAACAAGTGGGCCGAAGGCGATTCCGTTGCACACTCAACAGTGTATTTAGATCATGACCATGACAAAAGAAATTTAGAGGAAAAGAAAAGGAGAAAATGGGATCGAAATTCAGTTCTTAGTTTTCTTCTCTATAATATAGGGAGGATTTTGACTTCAATGAAAATAGTTTATACTATTTAAAATGGTTTTATTGAGCTACTTTTAAAATAATAACTCATCCTCTAAATAACTATAATTTTTTTAAAACAAGCCAATAAAATTATTGTGATAAGTTATTTTGAAAAATTATTGAAATAAAATTTTAAAAAAGCTTATATAACCTATAAATTATTTTACTAAGTTCTTCATAAACTTTTCCAAACTGCTCTTTATACTGGTTTATTTTACATTTAAAGCAGTTTAATTTGAATTTTATTTAGTCAAGTGCTTTTATTTTTCCCAAAATTAATAAAAAACATGCAATGTTCCCACCCGCTGCTTTCAAATTATAGAAGTTCAAAAGACCAGCATCTACACGCATTTGTTAAAATATCATGGCAAGTGCAGAAGCAATGCTTATTAACTAAACAAAAATAAAAATAAAACCGAAAAAACAACTTTAGAAAACAGTCTTGGCAAGTAATTTAGATCACTTCTCCATAAAGCTTTAAGCATTCAGATACGATGTGGATTAAATATGAATTATTACAAACGGAATAGCCAAGAGCAAAATCTGAACAGGTCAAACAAACATAAAAAAGCAGTAAACTTTGTTTTTCTTCTTTCCCATTTGGTTTTTACTAATCGCCAACCTTATCTTACTAAGGAAAAAGCCTTCGTTCTAGATCTCTCTTTATTCAAACTCATTTGCTAGAAGTTGAAAAAACGAAAATACAACACATCTAAGTCTCCTTAGAATCCACTGCTAATAAGGAATGATAAACAGTTAAAACAAAACAACTGAAGGCCAAAGACAAGGGTCAGAAACTTCTAGTAGGTATAGCCCTTGACAAACATTCCCTTCTTCGCCTCTTCACTTTCACCCTCGGCAGAATATCTTCCAAGTTGAGCCAAGGAGTTTGCTTTAGCACGAACCAAAAGAGCCTTCTGAGCAGCTTCCACATTCTCAGGGCGTCCTTGCCAAGTCTTAAGCACGGTGTTCTGCAGAGCTCGTGCATATGAGAAAGAAACATGCCATGGGTTGGGACTTTGGTTCATTGCATTGAGATTTAGTGTTGCTTCTACTTCGGATTGTCCACCTGACAAAAACTGAGAATAAAAACAGAACATTGTGAACAGCTTAATTTAGGGGATCCAAATTTCAACTTCTAACTCAAGTGCAATCTTAAATGAAAAATAATTGAAATTAGCATCATCACGATGAACAATGCATCCATTCAGATTAGAAAACTGAGATGATAGCATATATACAAAAGGTGATGTATATCTTTTAAGGATTCTGAGTTCATGTAATCCTGAAAAAGTTGCACAGGAAATCTGATAATCACAACAATTTATGTGAAGAGGAAAGAAAAAAGTGTGGCAACTGTACCATGATTCCTGGGACAGCAGGAGGGACTCTTCTTCTAAGCATGGTTAGAGTATATTTGGCAATAGTTTCTGGAGAAGCCTTCTCCTTGTGTTCAGCTCCAGGCGTAACCATGCTAGGTTTGAGCAAAATTCCCTCAAAAATGACATTGTTTTCAGCCAAATAGAAGAAGACTTCTGCCCAGACCTTCTCAGCCACTTCCAATGTCCTCTCAATTGGGTGGTCTCCATCTAGAAGAATTTCAGGCTCTACAATTGGAACAAGACCGTTGTCCTGCAACACAAATGGAGCCAGGGATGAGTGCAGTGTGAGGGAAAAAAACCTTGCTTCAGATAAACAGTAGACATGGATTTTATGTACACTGACATAGAGTATCAAACCATAAAAAGTTCACAACATGGCAAAAATTAGTTAAATTACAAAGTTACCATTCAATCAAATTTGACAGCCTCCGCACAAGTGCCCTTCAAATGAAAGAACCACCCATTTCAAATGGGTATGGAGAATGGGAAAAAAGGATAAACTATAAAAATACGTTATTAATCAGAGAGTATCTAATTTCAGCAAACAAGGTGCGAGAATACCTGAGAGATAGCAGCATAACGTGCAAGTCCCCATGCTGCTTCCTTAACAGCTAATGCAGAAGGACCACATGGAATGCTAACAACTGTCCGCCTGTATATCACAACAAAATCAAATCACCATTTCAACTGATTCACAATACATCCAATCAAGAAGAAAGTTTCATAAAGAATAAAGAAAGAATGACTTACCACTTGGCAAATCTAGCACCTTGCTTGTAGTATTCAGCAGACCTAGAAGCCAATCCATCTAACCCTTGGCACCAAGATTCATTGTTGGACCCCGGCAGAGGGACAAGACCCTAAAAAGAGAAAAACTAAAAAAAATAACCACCAAGCCAGTTTATCATCAATGAGACACGATACCAATGACACTCACAAACAAACAACAGACCTTATCAACTTTGATGCCGGGAACAATGTTCTCTTGGCGGAGGCAATCCACAAACTTCTTTCCATCAGTTGTAGACTGGTAAAGGGTTTCTTCAAAAAGAATGGCACCTGAAATGTATTCACCAAGGTCAGGTGTGGTGAGCAGAAGCTGCCTGTAGGCCTGGCGATTGACCTCGGTGTTGTCCAATCCAATGGATGCTAAACGCTTCCCACAGGTTGCATTTGACTCATCAATTGCAAGAATTCCACGACCAGCAGATGCAATAGATTTCTATACAACCAATAAACCAACCAATCACCAATCAAAGGAAACTATTCAACCAAAACGAGAGAGTAAAGTACTAGTAAAAAGTCAAACACAAGGAAATCTCACAGTAAATTGTAGAACACAAAATAATGCAACTCAACAACCAAAAGGAGAGGCACCAAAATATAAACGAGGGGCGTCCCGTAACAGCAAAGTTGAAAACTTTATAACATGAAAATGTTGTAAATAAACAGAATTGAAAAAGGGTACGAATCAATCAGGAAGAGCTATAAATTATAGAACAAAAAATAATGCAAATCAACAACCAGGCACCAAAATATTAACGAGGCGAGTCCCTTAACAGCAAAGTTGAAACCTTTATAATATGAAACACGATCAATAAAGAAGACGCATAAAGAGAAGGGGACAAACAGCGGTTTGGACGAGTTCATCGGAGTACGAAGCACGGATCGGAAGGGAGACTCGGCGAGTGGCGATGAGATGAGATGATCCACGGCGTGGAGAGAAAGAGTTGTGGGCGATCCACTGAGAAGACAAAGTGTTGAGTTTTGCACACGCCATAGCCATGATAATGAAACAAAGGGTTGTACAATACTTATGTATATTTTCAAGAGGTTTTGAAATTGTTTTGGTTTTTGGTTAGTAGTAAGAGGGTTGGTTGGTTTTCTCGGCCACTCCGCGGTAGGTGACGAAGACAGTCCTCTAAGCGGCAATACCAAACTCCAAAGGCCAACTCTTTTTCTTTTTGTGGGGTTTAAAGAAAAAATATTAATAAGGTAAATTTTATATTAATAAATAATAAGATTAATGGTTTAATTAAAATAATATTAATTTTTTAATTTTTAAATAATAAAAAATTATAATTATTAATTTAAAGAGATTATAAAATATTTTTTTAAAGAATATCGTAATAAATACCATCAATAAAATATAAAATATGTTGTTATACATAATAAAAATTAATAAATAATAAATTTTATTAAAAGTTATAATATTTAATTATATTATATAATTTATTTAACTTTGTAATCTTAAAAATATTTTTAATATAATCTATATTATTTTATTTTATTACTATCAATTTAATATATATATATATATATATATTTTTTTTAATTTTATGAATATTTTTATGTTGATCTTTTTTATATAAAATAATTAAAAAATGATCAAAATACAATGTTTTAAACAAAACAAAAAATAATATTTTTTCAAAATTGCAACAAATTTTTACCAAATCAATTTTTTTTTTAATTGTTACCAACGATTTTTTATTTTTTTAAAAATCACCTGTAATAATTTATGATTTTTTTATAATTTTTAAAAAGTTGTGAGTAACGACCTTCAAAATATTATATTTTTTAATTTCATATTTAAAAAAATATTCCTTTTTATGTTTTAAGTTGAATCTTTACCCTTTATAAGTTTTAATCAAAGATTAAAATTAAATTTTTTATTATTTAAAAATACATTAAATTTGTTAATTTTTTAAAACTTTGACAAAAATTATAAAATTTATTAAAAAAAACATATCAAACATGTTCAACGGTACTTTAACAAAAAAGTTAAATTAATTAAATTGAGATTCTCAAAATTTTAATTTAAAAATATTATAATATTTTAAAATAAACCAAAAGTTTTTATTAGATAGTTGTGAAAGAAGAAAGATCATACCTTTAAAAAAAAAAACATAATAATGACATGAACATATTTTTTTGACATGTTTTAATGAAAATTAGCAGTAGTCTCAATTTTGTCAAAAATTAAGTCGCTCTATTAAGTTAAAATAGCCTCAATTTTGTCAAAAAGTAAGTCACCCTATTAAGTTAAAATAGGGTTACATTTTGAGAGATTTTTAAAAGTTTTAAGAAAAGTTCTATTTTTTGTCGAAGAAGAAGAGAAATTTTAGAAATTTTGAGTCTAAGCTAAAAAAATATCCAAAATTAGAAGTTCCTGATAGATTTGATTGAAAACTTGTGTAAACAATAATTAAAAAAATAATCATCCTAAGTCCAAAAGATAGCTAGCGTGGAACTCATATATTTTTCTTAAAACTTGTCAAAAAAATTTACAAAGAAATTATTTTAAGTCCAAAAAGATAAAACTTTAAAGATAAACAAACATATCAAAAAAACTATGAGACTTAAAGCAACTAACAAAGTAACAGTTACTAATAGTTACCACTAATTGAAGGTCAGAGACACAAAGAACTAATTATGAACAACAACATTTATAAAAAAGGCACGATTACAAGTGATCATGGATGATGGACAACAACAGTTAAAGACAAGTATATGCAAAACGCGGAGAAGACAATTATTAAGAGACCCATAAAAAAATAATAGTTGAGACACATCTGCTTATAAATAATACCTAGCTTTACATTGTAAATAACTTTTTGGCACAAGAGACATTAGCATAAAAAAAAATTTACACACTGGAATTCTACACTAAGTCAGACACCAACTACCATGAGATTCACACGGTTGTTATTATTCACTGTGAGAGTCATATGTCTACGTTCTTGCAATTTAATTCATTTTCAATTTGCTTTTCATTTTGTAATCCCTTTACATTTAGTTCAATATTGGTTTCATTGTTTTGTACTAGATAAGACACTACTCGGTCATTATGACAAAAAAAGGAATCTGAATACCTCTTCAGCCTATAGGACAAACACCCCTCCAATCATATTAAAATAAATAACGACGAATGATTAAAAAGATTAAAATAGATAATAATTCATTATCTATTTTAGTTAGCTAAAATCAGGCTCAGTCATAAAGTTTATTAGCCCAATATATTACCTATAAAAGAAAAGGAAGATGTACAGATAAAAAAGGTTAATTTTTGAATAGTAAATAACATTTATTACCTAAATCAACACTTGACTTTATCATCGGAGTGCCTTTTACAGGTACCTTTCCCATGTCATATAAAGAAAGATCTGACATACCTACAAGAACATCACGACGTAGGACAAAAGAAGAGATAATTGAAAATTATTGTATCCTTAATGGGAACAATTCTATTATTTCTGGTCAATTTTATGTTGTATGACATTGATTCAGTCATTTTAATTACAACATACTTAAAAGAATTTAAAGAGAAATTTAGTTTTAAATTATTTTTAAATTTATTTGTTTACTAATTACAATTTTCATCATAAACACAATTATAAAATATTAAATTTGTTTATAAGTTTTTGAATAAATAATTTTTTTAGAAAAATGTTTGAATTTTTTATTAGAATAAATTATAGTTCAAATAATTTTTATTTGTTTTAGAAATTCTTAACGTATCTTGTTAAAAAAAACTATTTTTTTTTACTTATTTTAAGAAGTTATTAATTAAAATAATGTTATAAATTATCATTTGAATAATTGTTGAATTACCTGTTTATCCGGGCATACTTTAAACTCTTAAAGTTATAAATTTTGTTTATTGAAATTCTAACCATGTTTTTGTTAATATGTATAAGAATTTAATAAAAATTGTTTGAATAATTTAAAATTTTACTTATTTACTAAATTAACAACGTAGTGACTGAGTTATTTGAAAAATAATAATATAGTTCATTTATTTAACAAAAGACCTAATTAAAATGATTTACAAATTCATGAATTTAATTATAAACTTTAAAATATTTAAAATTGTAAAAATGTTTTTAAAGGCTTACAGAATGATTTTTTGTAAAATCATATCAGTTACCAATAATGAATTTATCTTTTTAAAATTTTCAATATAACTTTTTAAGATTATTCTTTTAATTACTTTCCTAATTAATAAATCTTTTAATTAGTAAAATAATTTTCATTTTAAATATAATTCTCTTTTTATTAATGTGGTAATAGTAATTAATTGATAATTGTTGAAGAGATGAGATTCATTTATTTAAAAGAATTTTTAATGTGTTTGATTTTCTTTTACATTCTTAGCTGTTAAAGGAATCAAAACAAGAATATACTTCAGGTCTTGTATTATTGCTATTATTTTTAAATTTTTACTCATTTTTTGTTTTCTTAAATTATGTTTTTCAAAATTACAGCTCAATCCACTAATTGATAGTTTTTTAAAGAATTGTTAGAAATTTACATTCTAATTTATGAATGAAACTCATTTAAAAGAGATAGCATTTAAAAAATAACCAAGTATAACAAATTTATGATATACTGGTGTGTGTTTTTTTTTAATACGTATGGAGTAGAAAAAGAGAGAGAAAAATATAAAGTAAAGTTCTCAATTTAGTCAGAAAAAGGAAAAATAGGAGATTTTTTTAATAAAAATTTCAATAGACACTACCGCAATAAAAAAAAAGGAATTATTTTTTAATATTTATTAATCAAACTATTAAAATATTTAATAAATAAATAATATTAGGAAAATATGTTAAGATAAAAATATTTTTTTGAATTTTTTATGATAACAATGAATATTATTTAATTTTTTATTTTTTATTTTTATTTTTATTTATCTAAATAAATATGAGATTTTCTTTAATTTTTTTTCTTATTTTAACTTATATTTTCTATATTTTTATTTTACATCTACACGTAATGTTGATGTAATTAAATAATATATATATATATATATATATATATATATATATATATTTATGTAATCAAGTTATGACATTGTGTAAAAAAATGAATTGCAAAGTGTATAATAAAAAATAATTATACGAGTAATATGTTAATTTTATTAATAAAATTGTTATATATATATAATTAAGATTGAATTGAATTAATCTAAAAATAGAATTTTGATTTAGTTTAATAAAAACTTAAAAATTTGTGATTTTAATTAATTATTTAATTTTTGTAATTTATATTTGATTAGATTGATTCATAAACAACCATAAAAACATATGAATAAAATATGGAGGTACAGGTAATAAAGTATTTTTTATGGCAGTAATAAAGTTGCACTTAGAGTACAAATGTGACTTATCACACATCAGTAAATCTTTAAAACTTACATTATCTTAATGAATTTAAAATCGAATCCCTTATTTCGATAAGAAAAAACGAAACTTGTTAGGTAAACTTATAGTTATTTTTTTATATTAAGAAACTTATAGTTATTAAATGACCTTATAAACCCTTTTAGATTGCCTGCAAATAAAATTGAAGTGGGATGATAATTTTCTTTTTCCATAAGAATGACATGAATTGAAACAACACTGAACCACATATCACCCTGAACCTCAATTCCACTATGTTCTTCAGAGTTTCAAACTTTGTTCAAAGCTCTCAAGAGTCATAACATGTTCTTAATTGTTGACTTCACTTTGATCTTAATTATCTTTAAAATTGTCATGCCCAGATGGATGTTGGGAATCCTTGCCTTTTTTCATTATTTGCATAAAAATTTGATTTTGATGTTGCCCTTGATCAGCGAGCCTCGTTTGTTTGTGGTAGTTTTGTTCTGCCCTGCATTGTTGCTTGGCGTGAATTGTGGGAAAATTTTGGTCTTTTTTTCTGTTTGGAAATTGATAAAAGGTTGTGTTCTTTTTGGTTTCATATCCCTTGACAGAAAACAATTTAGATGCTTTTATTCTTTTGACTTCTGGGTGGTTGCGTATAGTGACAATGGTGATGTCTGTTTAACCCGTCGGTTTCTTATCAAAGACATGGTTCCAAATCATGTATGTTATCAGTTGTCTTCTTTGTTCTAAGAGTTATGCTTCGTGTCTATTCTGAAAATAATACATCTGCTGTGCATGTTAATGGATACAGTATGTTAAATTATTTAATGATTGCAAAATTTACTAAAGTGAGACGTGTAGCTTTCATTAAATTGCTAGAGTACTTTGTTATTCCCTGAAGTAGAAAAGTAAGATTGAGAGAATATATACTGCTTTCTGTTTAATGAGGTTTAATTAGTCAAGGAAAAGAAAACGTATTTGTTTAATTAATGAGAAGTCAGTTACTGAAATAATTTAACACATCACAAACTATTATTACTAAAACATAATAATAATATATTTATCAATTGGTCTTATATAAATTTAATAAACATTATCATAATTGATATTAATAATTTAAATATATATTCTAAATAATTGATTAAAGCTATTCTACAACTAAACAGAATATTAACATTAATAAAAAAAATATTGATATAACATTTATGGAAGCTGAATATTCTCAAGCCTCTTGTTCTGGATGGTATGGATTTGTGTCTGTAATTGTTGTAGGAAATATAATTTTCGTCATGTTGGTATCACTTAGGTGCCTTTCCTAGAGCAATCTCTGAAATTCTATCTCACTTTTTGAACTTACTTCCTTAAGTGTCTCGCTTAAGTGTCTCGCAAACTGCCAAGAAATATGTCAGGTTTAAGAGTCAATTTGTTACTCTAGCATGTGTGGAAAGGGCATTCTTCAGAAGTGCCAAATTGAGCCATGGCACTAATCATTTGTTTTCTGGAAGCTAGATAAAAATCACTATTTGATCACTCCAAGATATAAATCTTATCCTAGAATGGAGTTAATTATGAATAATGGGTAGTAACTTGAAGTATAAAAAACCTCGATCCTCTGAATAAAAATAAAATAGCAGATTAATATGTTTGCAAGTACTTTTCATATCATATGTTATTTAGTTTCCGGTAATTCAAAAATTACTTGTTAGCCAAAAAAGATGATATATAGCATGGATGCTGAGAAATTTTTCACACCATCATTTCTCAGAGCAATTAAAGAAAATACCGAAGCAAGTTTTGGAAGCATAATGGCCGAACCATCTAGAGGAATTTATACGTTTGAAATGCTTCAACTACAGTTTTGTGAATTGTTGGTATCTGAGGTATCACATTTCTTTCCCTTACTTTTCCCTTTCATGCATATATAATTTTTTCCATTCTATGTTAGTGTTTTATGTTTTCTTATCAAGTTCTGACTGTTTAGGTGGAGCATTTTGAAAGATGGGTCCACGAGATCAAATTCAGAATCATGCGACCTAATACAATGAATCAATTTGGTGCTGTTCTTTATGATTTTGGCATGGAAACCATGCTTGACAGATTGATGAATGGTTTCATATCTCCTATATCTCGAGGTTTTTCTTTTCATTTTCTTGATGAGAATAGAGGAGAAAATTAGGACTGAGATGAAGCAGCTAATAAAATGATGTGCACTCACTTTTGCAATATGATTTTTTTTTCTTGTTTTGCAGTTTTCTTCCCCGAACATGGTGGATCCTCTCTGGACTCTCATCATGGTTTTGTTGTCGAATATGGAATCAACAGGGATGTGGATTTCTGTAGGTTTATCAAACTTAGGTTAAAAATTTTGTGGATTTTCTATTGCCTGGAATCTGCAATAAATCTTTTGAACCTAAAGGGAGCTTAATGTTTTAACTTTTAAGCATCTATTTATGGTTTTATATTAATTTAATTTAATCATTCTCTTTATGGTATATGCATTTAACTGTCATCTTGCAGATTTTGATTCTTTTATTTGACCAAAAACAAAAGGATTAGAAAATAAAAATGCATCAGAGTTTTCTGATTGTCTGAAATATAGAGATATTGTTTTCAGCTTTGTTATATTTTTTAGCCTCGATGCCTTTTATCCCCCTTTAGTCGTTTAATTTCTGTGTTGTAGGATATCATATCTTTCCTCTTACGATGTATTTGGGATGGATAGTTTTGGGGGTAAAAGGTTTGGAGGATAAAATTTTCATTAGAAGTATATACTCTCTAATTTGCGATATTTTTTAGAATGGAAGAAATAACATGATAATTTATCATGAAAATTTCAAACATCCCTTATTTAAAAAAAAAATGAAAACTTTATTGTCCCATCTCTCCTTTTGCTCCCAAACCCTCGGTCTAAAATAACTGAAGTTTCACTAGTCCATTGTGGAAACTTGGTTAATTCAAGTTCACTTTGTCAATCATACTTCGGTCATTTTGGCTTGTCTACTGTGAAATTTGAATGTATCTATTCTTTTACTTTTCAACAGAAAATTGTCTCTTGTTGCCATACTCATTAATCCATCACAAGTCATGATAATTAGATACTTCTCTTCATGGATTCAATTCCATACTAGATCTCTTTCCTTCTTTTATTGCTTATCTTTGATGCTTACATATTTTGTCCAGAATACAATCTTCGTATTGTAGCTTTATTTTCTTTGCTGCCTGTCTTTCTGTTTACCTCCCTCCCAACCCATTAGCTTTATGTGCTTTTGTTGAAATCTAAAAAGAACAATATTTTTGCAGGCCTTCATGTAGATGACTCAGAAGTCTCCTTAAATATTTGCTTGGGAAAGCAATTTTCTGGTGGGGAGCTGTTATTCCGGGGTGTTCGATGCGATGAACATATAAATTCAGAAACCCAACCAGAGATGTGTTATGGGAAAATTGTATTTATGCTCAATGGTTTGTATTTAACTGCATTGATCTCCAGCATGAATTTGAATTCTATTTTAAAGTAGCAATGGCTGCCAGTTGATGAATGGTACCCTTTTGGTGTTCTGGATGGTTGTGGAGTCTCATATTTTCTCTTCCTAAAAACTGAAGAAATTAAACTCCGTTTCATCTTGTCATGTGTTTTGTTCTGAATTCTTATGTGGGTTGTGGATGCACGATTGAGGCAATAATGCAATCCTAGACTGATCTTGTCTTGACTTACTATCTATTTCCCAAGTACATTAATGGACAAATACATTGTAACTTTTGAGTTGTACATCACGTTATTCATACCAAAATTGAATAGTAGTAGTGAAAAGTACACGAGTTTCACAACACATTTACTTTTTAACATATCTAACTGCAAGCATATCTTTGCACGAGATCTTTGGTTATTTCCATGTTCCTGGACGTGCAATTCTTCATAGCGGTTGTCACCGGCACGGTACTAACCCTGCAACATCTAGGAATCGGATCAATTTAATATGTGCAGAATATGAAAATGATATATTTTTGTTTTATTTTTTATCAAAGATATTGATTTCATTGATAACCACTGAATTGGACAGCAATAGCAATACATAGGGATATCCCTAACCTTACCAATAGAGAAAACATAACGTCAAATTAACTCTCAGCCTCAGAAATTCTTCATGAAGTATCTTAACCTTGAAGAGCTAGCCAAATACATGTGAAAGAAAAATTTGTCAACGCATGGAAATAATTGCAAAATACATATGAAAGAAATAATTGCAAAATACACGTGAAAGGAAAATTTGTCAACGCATGAAAATAATGCTAATGAGGCGGCTAATGAATAAATTTCCTGGTGCATGCATCATGCACGCTAGCTGTCTTTTCGAGCAACTTTTTTAACTTTGTATATAATTAGATTATTTTTTAGTCTTTGTTAAGGAATACGGACTTTTTTACATAAATAAAATTAAAAAAACTATTATTTCTTAAATATTTTTTTAAAAAAATTACATAAATGTTCTTAAAGTATCTATAACAGAAGTCGATTTAAATAGTTTTTTATTTTATTTTTAAAATTTTTTTACATAAAAATCTATTTAAATTGATTTCTATTTTATTTTTAAATATAAAAATTAATTTAATTCAAATTTCATTTTGATTTCAAATTTTGTTTACACATGAGTCAATTTAAATTAACTTTCACTCACACATGAATATGTCTTAGAAAGAAGTCGATTATAATTAACTTTGTAATACATAATTAAAGTTGATTAGAAAAGAGTCTATTATAAATAAATAAAAATTTGTCATTTGATGATAAATTTTTTTTGAAATTAAGTGTAAAATTAGAGTGAGATGATAACATTCATTAACAATGGCTTTGCAACTCTGTTATTAAATCTTACAACAAATTTTAATACAATTACACAATGTGTTGCACACAATATGCATGATATGCTGAAGGGATGTCACTCATTCCTTGTAACTTCTAGAGCTAATTTGATTGATAGGGATTGGGCTGGAGCTTAACAAGAGTAAGACAGGAAAGAGTAAGCTACCAATTAAAAGAGAAGACTGGTGATAGTTAATCGGGGGAGAGAGCAGCTCATGCGTTAGAAAAAGGAAAAAGATAGTAAAAGCTCAAGGGATTTATCACAAAGACAAGTGCTCTAGCTGAAGCTATCAATTAAAAGAAAAGACCGGCTAGTGATATTTAACCAGAGAGGGAGCAGCTTATTCATCAGAATAAAGAAAAAGATAGTAAAAGCTCAAAGATTCATCACGAAAGCAAGTGCTCCAGCAAAAAATATACTTTATTGTGGTTGTCGAAGATATTTTTTTGTTCGAACTCCCTCTTTTTTTTTCTTTTAAAGAATGGAATTCGACTTTAAAGAATGGAACAAGTAACAATAATAGCAGTAATAGATACTATTGATGACATAAAAAGAACAATTAATCCAATTATTTTTTTTAAATTGAATTAACTGTTCTTGTATTAAACACAATAAAGGCTCTTTCTTGGCTTAATTATAAGGATAGACCTTTCCTCTTAAATAAAATATGCAGAAAAAAAAAACTGTGGAACCCTAATTTAGATTAAAAGGGAAGACCGGATAGTGGTAGTTAATTGAGGGAGGAAGCATCTCATCCGTCGGATGGGATCCCTCTACTTCACATTTTTAGCTTATCTGTTTCCAAAGTGGCTTTGTCCACTTCAACATTCTTTGCTCCCAGCTGGGTATCTCCAAGGACTTACCTCTAAAAGCTACAAGAAATGAGTAACATTTTTTTATTATATCATGCATATTGTGTGTAGCACATTGTGCATTGTATCAAAATTTGTTGTAAGGTTTAAAAAAAGAAGTGTAAAACAATTGCTAATGAATGTTATCATCTCACTCTAATTTTTACACTTAATTTTAAAAATTTTTCATCATCAAATGATAATTTTTTATTTATTTTTAGGACATTTATGTAATTTTTTTTTAGGATATGTAGGGAATAATAATTTTTTTTAATTTTATTTGTGTAAAAAAGCCAGGAATATGATTTGGAGTTTAAAAATAGAGAACGTTATTGATTTGGATAATTTTTAAGTCTTTCTAACTACTAACGTCATTGAGCTTTTCATTTAACACGAGTCAATTTGGTATCTGATTTTTCAAATTTTATTTTAATCACTCAATCATACCTATATATGCATACTCTCGGGGTTCTTCATCCATGTATCTGCTGGAGATAATTACTCTTATTTGCATATAGCCATTATATTTCTTCGTGGTTAAGAAACATGTCATTCCCAGTTGATTCACCTTGGAGAGGGTGTGCTGCTAACTTTCCACAGCCTATAAACGCTGATGACGAACGTAGAGCTAAGTCTTTGATGGAAACTGTTAACCGCTACAGTTGCTACGAAGTTAGACCACCTTTGGTAGCCGTGCCAGAAATCCATTACAGGCATGAAACTGTTCGCCTTATTTTACTAATTAAGTTTGACTTGTTTTGAAATGGTAAATGGATCCGTAGAACTGATTCAAGATTTTTCTAAAATATAGATACACAATCAAAAACTTTTAAACCATAAAAATTCATTAAAAACTTAATACAACGAATAAAAGCTTATATAATAATTAAACCTAAACTAAATTACGAGAATTTGTTATTATATTCTTATATTATTATTATCCACCTATCTTAAATTTTCTGGATCCATTATCACTCATACAGGAGCAGTGACAGAGAGGAGGATGTGACCCGCCACGTGTTCCGTTGGGCCAGGGAACCTTACCAGCAGATATTTGAGAATGGGTTCCGAGCAAGGCCCCAAGAAGGGGTTCCTGATAGCACTTACTACAATGTGGAGGACTACGTTCACAATGGTGGCAGGCCAGCCCAAGAAGGGAGAACCCAAAGGCATGCCTTCGTTGGCACAACTCTTGACAGTAGCTATCGCCCACCACTGGACCCGAATGAGCAGGAGGCTAGGGTTTATAGGTATGAGATCTATGCTCCTGGGGGCATTTGGATAGCTGCGACAATTGGTGAAAAATATCAATTTCCTGGTCAAGATGAAATTTCCTTTGTTGCTGGCATTGCACGCCAATACATTCGCTCTGCTCAGTTATTTATAGGCACGCGTGACGCTGCAACCGGGTTAGTATCATCATCCATATTCTCCATCGTTCAAGTATGTTGAGGAATTTTAGAAGCTCGTCTTCAATTCTCCTATAAATATAAATATCTCCCCCATTTTAATTTTAGTGTCTTTTAATTTAAGAGTTTATTTAATTTTATTTGTCACTTTATATTTTTTATGATATATTAATTAGTTTTTTCATATTTATCTTTATATGAATTTTCTCATATACTAATAATATATTGCACAATTTTCTAGTTAAAGAGGAGCTATTTTTGTCAATACCAATTATTTTCTTATGTATATTTGTATACTTTTAATGATTTCTTAGTCCAAATATCAAAATCTTAAAAGACGCTTAAACTTAGATGGACGAATCATCAAATTTACTATTAAGTACATTGTGGCCAGCTTTTAGAATTCCATTACATCGATTATGCACATTTGTTTGGTGCTCAATTTAATTGTAAGAATACGGAGTATAACATTACTCTAATTAATGAATAATTCTAAATTTTTATACTAAATATTGCTACAATTCTCTTTATATACCAAAAAAATAAGTATTATACATTTTTTTTTAAGATTTTAAGACATTGATTACCTTTGCCTTTTTTCTTTTGTCCCATTATTTTAGTTTTAAAAGAATTTATGAAAGGATACATGTGTGTGCGTGTGAACTCTGAAAAATTGAAGTTCCACATCCATTGAAAATTGGCTAAGTGAATACTTACTGTATAAGATGGGAGAGTTAGAGATCCACTGTTTTAAGATTTTGAGTCATGATGTGGTATCCAACCCAATTATTTGCTTTTCTCACTTAGTACGGTCATCTCAGCTGGGCTTCCCCGACCCAACAAAGCATCCTATATATGTTATGATTACTTTCAGTGAGTATATATTATTTATTTTCATTGATCGTCTTTTACCGTGCAGGCATCGAAGATGGAGAAGAGCGGACAACAGAATAATAATAAATGGGTATTTTAACCCACAATCACATCCATCCAGATTGCTCAACATCCAAAGGCCAGTATTTGATTATAGGGATGAAGATGGTAATCGCAGCAGGCCCTTGACCATTGTAATCTTCAGACCACAAACTCAAGCATTGTTAGAATTAGATGAGCAAAGAGAGAAAAGACAAGTCTTAGGCTATGACGATCCTATGAATTGGTATGCGGATAAGGTAGCAAATGATCAGGGCTATATAAATGCTGCATTCCGTTCATCTAGGAAAAATGAAGCATACATATTCATGAGAAATGAGTATGCATTGTTGAATTATGCTCCTGGAACAACGGATGACAAGATTGTAAATGGGCCGCTTCTAATTTGTGATGGGTATCCGTCTCTTACTGCCACAGCATTTGGTGAATATGGAATAGATTGTGCTTTCAACACTGACGGGAACCAAGCCGTCATCTTCTCTAGCAACCTTTGTGCCTTAATAGACTATGCTCCAGGAACTACTGATGACAAAAAACTCTCTGGTCCCATGACAATTGCCGCCATGTTTCCCTTCTTCAAGGATACAGTGTTTGAGAATGGCATAGATGCTGCCTTCAGGTCATCTAGGAGCTATGAAGCTTACTTATTCAAAGGAGACCAATATGCTCTTATAAACTATAATACAAAGAATCTCATTGCAATCCGGAAAATCACTGAAGGGTTCTATAGTTTGAGAGGCACGATATTTGCAAGTGGAATTCAAGCTGCTTTCGCTTCTCACAGGACTGATGAAGCTTACATTTTCAAAGGAACACAATATGCACTTATCAATTTTGCTCCAGGAACTACTAATGACTACATCATTGGTGGTGTGCAGCCAATGCTTCCCAATTGGCCTTCTCTTCGTAGCATATTGCCTCGCAATAATCGTGGGCTTGATGACCATGATCATCACCGCAATCCAGTCGTGGGCTTGATGACCAGCAATCCAGGTGCTGATCATGGTCACGACGAAATCTGAGAACAATGTTATTTGTACATCAAAAGTGGATATAAAAAGTGGACACCATAGTGAGAGATACAATATATTCTATGAAAGAAATTAAAAAGAATTAAGGTCTGTGTATCTCTCTCAGTGACATCCACTATTAATGTCTATTTTTGGTATACAGATATTACATTGCTCCTTTTTATATATATCAATCTCCTATACCATGTATGATGGTATGATCAGAATAAAGTCGTGTGTTGTTGTTTTCTCAGTACGTCTGATGCCGTGTGTTTGCGTCTTTAAGAAATAAGAGTAACGTACCTAGCATGGTTGTGTGCTCCAACTTTGTTTTCTTCTTTCCCATTTGTTGGTCTTTACTAATCCCCAACCTTATCTTTACTAAGAAAAAAGCCTTCGTTCTAGCTCTCTTTATTCAAACTCATCTGCTAGAAGTTGAAAAATAAAATAAAATAAAACACATCTAAATCTCCTTAGAATTCACTGCTAATAAGGAATGATAAACAGTCAAAACAAAACAACTGAAGGCCAAAGACAAGGTTCACACAAACTTCTAGTAGGTATAGCCCTTGACAAACATTCCCTTCTTCGCCTCTTCACTTTCACCCTCGGCAGAGTATCTTCCAAGTTGAGCCAAGGAGTTTGCTTTAGCGCGGACCAAAAGAGCCTTCCAAGCAGCTTCCACATTCTCAGGGCGTCCTTGCCAAGTCTTAAGCACGGTGTTCTGCAGAGCTGGTGCATATGAGAAAGAAACATGCCATGGATTGGGACTTTGGTTCATTGCATTGGGATTTAGTGTTGCTTCTACTTCGGATTGTACACCTGACAAAAACTGAGAATAAAAACAGAACATTGTGAACAGCTTAATTTAAGGGATCCAAATTTCAACTTCTAACTCAACTCAAGTGCAATCTTAAATGAAAAATAATTGAAATTAGCATCATCACGATGAACATGCATCCATTCAGATTAAGAAAACAATTGAGATGATAGCATATATACAAAAGGTGGTGTATATATCTTTTAAGGATTCTGAGTTCATGTAGTCCTGAAAATGTTGCACAGGAAATCTGATAATCACAACAATTTATATGAAGAGGACAGAAAAAGTGTGGCAACTGATTCGTGGGACAGCAGCAGGGACTCTTCTTCTACGCATGGTTAGAGTATATTTGGCAATGGTTTCGGGAGAAGCCTTCTCCTTGTGTTCAGCTCCAGGCGTAACCATGCTAGGTTTGAGCAAAATTCCCTAGAAAATGACATTGTTTTCGGTAGAAGAAGACATCTGCGACCTTCTCAGCTACTTCCAGTGTCCTCTCAATTGGGTGGTCTCCATCAAGAAGAATTTCAGGCTCTACAATTGGAACAAGACCGTTGTCCTGCAACACAAATGGAGCCAGGGATGAGTGCAGTGTGAGGGAAAGAAAACTTTGCTTCAGATAAACAGTAGACATGGATTTTATGTAAAACTTGTTAATTTTTTGTTGTTATATCAGTACTAGTGTAAATAATAGTAGCTATTGTTTATTTCTATATTTTTGTAATTTTTTCAAAAATATTATATTTCTGTATTTTTTTTAATTTCATATTTAAAAAAACTCCTTTTTATGTTATGATTTTTTTAAGTTGAAGTCACTAATCTTTATCCTTTATAAGTTTTAATCAAAGATTAAAATTTTAAATTTTATTTTTATTATTTAAAAATACATTAAATTTCTTATTTTTTTAAAACTAACAAAAATTATAAAATTTATTTAAAAAAACATGTCAAAGATGTTTACCAGTACTTTAACAAAAAATGTAAAAATAATTAAATTGAGAATTTTTTATTTAAAAATATTAAATATTTTTAAATAAAAATAATGTAACATATATGTATATAAAAAATTTATTTTTATAAATATGTCACAGAATAAAACCTGCTTCACAACATCTTATCTTGCAATAAAAATTTATGATTTTTTAAAGTTTGCGAGAAAGATATTTTTATCGTCATCAACATAATAGTATGTATTTATTCTTATTGATTTAATTGAAGAAAGAAAATCTTTTTTAAGGTTTAAAAGTTATTATACTTTCGTGCAAGAAAAAGAACTACGCTTTTTTTAAGAAAAAATTTTTGAAGATCAATGTCATTGACATATCTTTTGAACTAAAACTAAAGAAGATCTTAAGTTTTAAGGAATATTTTTTGACACATTTTCATGAAAACTAAGAGAAGCCTCAATTTTTTTGAAAACAAGTCACCTTATTTAGTTAAGATAGGGTCACATGTCGAGAAATTTTGAAGGATCTAAAAAAGAGTCTTATTTTTTGTCAAAAAGGAAATCACATTTTGAGAAGCTTTAGAAATTTTGATTCCAAGGTCAAAAACATCTAGAATCAATAGAGAAAGAAAGCTCCAAACAGATCTAATTAAAAATTTGTTGAAACAGAAATTAACAAGAGAATCATTTTAAGTCTAAAAAGAAAATCATAGATTTTCTTTAAAATTTATTGAAAAAGAAATTGACAAGAGAATTATTTTAAGTTTAAGAAGACAGAGTAAAACTTAAAAGATGAAAAAACATATTGAAAGAACAATAAGGCTTGAAACAACTATAAAAGCAGCAGTTACTAACGGTTATCACCAATTGAAGGTTAGAGACACGAATAACCAATTTAGGCAACAACGATTATGGAGAAGGCACGATCACGAGTGGTTATGAATAATGGCAACGGCGGTTAAAGACAACTACGTGCAAAAGATAGTTATCAAGAGGCCCACAAAAGAAAAACAGTTTAGATGCATCTGCCTATAAAGAATACAAAATTTAACATTATAAAAGGCTTTTTGGCACCAGATACTAGTACTTAAAATTTTTTACACAATAAAATTCTGCATTGAGCCAGACACAAGCTACGAGGAGATTCACAATTGTTATTGTTCACTGCTAGAGTTGTACGTCTACATTGAGTAGAACATCAACTATTAGAAAATTCACAATTTTTATTGTTCATTGCGAGAGTTGTGTGTCTACATTCCTACAATTTACTTCTTACAATTTAATTCATTTTTAATTTGCTTTTTGTTTTGTAATCCTTTTACATTCAATTTAATATTGGTTTCATTGTTCTACTACGATTTTTGTCAATTTTATACTTTACGATGTTGATTCAGTCATTCCAATTACAAGATACTTAAAATAATATAAAGATAACTTAAAATTTAGTCCCAAATTGTTCTTAAATTTATATATTTACCAATTATAATTTTCACTCTAAATACGATTATAAAATAGTAAATTGATTTAAAAGTTTTTGAATAAATAATTTTTTAATTAATAAAATGTTTGAAATTTTTATTAGAATAAATTATAATTCTAATAATTTTTATTTGTTTTATAAATCTTTAATGTACTTGTTAAAAAAAACTATTTTTTTCTTATTTTTATAAGTTATTAATTAAATTAATGTTATAAATTATCATTCGAATGATTGCTGAATTACATGTTTTTCCAAATATACTTTAACTTTTAAAGTTATAAAATTTGTTTATTGAAATTCTAACCATGTTTTTGTTAACATGTATAAGAATTTAATAAAAAATATTTGAATAATTTAAAATTTTACTTAATTACTAAATTATCAATGCAGTAACTGAGTTATTAAAAAATAATAATATAGTTCATTTATTTAACAAAAGACTTAATTAAAATGATTTACAAATTCATGAATTTAATTATAATCTTTAAAATATTGAAAATTGTAAAAAATATTTAAAAGCATACGGCGACCAATAATAAATTTATCTTTTTGAAATTTTCAATATAACCTTTTAAGACTATTCTTTTAATTACTTTCTTAATTAATAAATATTTTTAATTAATAAAGTAATTTTCATTTCAGATTTAATTCTCTTCTTATTAATGTGGTAATAGTAATTAATTGATAATTTTTGAAGCGATCAGATTCATCTTATTTAAGAGAATTTTTAATGTGTTTGATTTTCTTTTACATTCTTAGATCTTAAAAGAATCAAAACAAAAATATACTACAAATCCTGTATTATTGTTATTATTTTTAAATTTTTGCTCAATTTTATATTTTCTTAAATTATTTTTACAAAATTGCAGCTCAATCCAGTGATTGGTAAATTTTTTAAAAACTGCTAAAAATTCATATCCTAATTTGTGGATGAAACTCAGTTTTAAAATAGATAGCAATTAAAAAATAACCAAGTCTAACAAATTTATAATACACAGCAATAAAAAGAAGTCATAAGTTTTTAATATTTATTAATCAAACTATTAAAATATTAAATAAATAAATAAATATTAAGAAAATATTTTAGGATAATTTTTTTAATAACAATAATTATTATTTAATATAGTTTTATTATTTTTATTTATCTAAATAAATATGAGATTTTCTTTAAATTTTTCTTATTTTAACTTATATTTTCTATATATTTTATTTTACATTTTCACGTAATGTTGATGTAATTAAATAAATTATATATTTTATGTAAATAATGTTGTGACATTTTGTGAAAAAAATGAATTCAAAATCTCAATTTTAAAATCATATTTCTCAAAGTGTATAATAAAAAATAATTATACAAATACAAGTAATATGTTAATTTTACTAATAAAATTGTGTGTGTATATATATATATATATATATATAATTTAGATTGAATTGGATTAATTTAAAAATAGATTTTGGATTTAATTTAATAAAAACTTCAAAATTTGTAATTTTAATTAATTGTTTATTTTTTTGTAATTTATATTAGATTAGATGGATTCATTTACAGCCCTAAAAACATGAATAAAATTTTGAGGTACAGGTAATAAAGTTGTATTTTTTTTATGGCAGTAATAAAGTTGCACTTAGAGTAGAATTGACGTACAATTTATTACAAATGTGACATATCATATATCAGTAAATCTTTAAAACTTACATCATCTTAATGAATTTAAAATCGAATCCCTTATTTCGATAAGAAAAAATAAAACTAGTTAGGTAAA